CTTCTTTGCGCAGGTAGCTCTTTTCGCGTGCTCTGCAAGAGGTGTTTCGCGCAAGGCGCCGTGGTGGCACTGTCTGCGCTCTTGTGCTCTGGGCATGTTGCAAGTCTGCAAGTCGATCTCTGTTGCCTAAAGGCTGCGCTTCAGCGAGCTGCGGGCGCGCGCTTGGCTTCGGGTGCGATGCTCCCGCGGGCCCAAGCGGGATCGAACCGGCGACCGCAGGATTACAAGAGAAGCTCGAGGCAACTTCCACGGAGCAACTCGCAAGCCGATCCCCGCGCGCACAAGCCGCAGAAGTCGCGAAACAGGCCCGCACAGATGGTTCTGCTCACGTGTCACGTAGCTCCATGAAAATTGGCTACAGATGGGTTTGCGCAACTGACTCTGCGCAAATGTCTCTGGGCAAGATGCTCTGGGCAAGTCAGCTCTGTGCAAGAGGGTACGCAAGTGGTTCTGAGCAGATGGCTATGTGTGCAAGTTGTTCTGCGCAAGTTGGTCCAAGGGCTCTGCACGGAAGAGCCTTCGTTCGGGAAATAGCACTGGCTGGCAGCCTGGAGATTGGGCAGGCAGGTAGGCCATCAAAAACTCGGAGCCTTCAGGTTCGGAAAGTTCATTGAACAAACATCCGGAACTTCAAAGAGGATTCCAGGGTTCCAAGGTTTTATGGTGGAAGGCAGGGTTCAAAGCAGTTTTGCAGGGTAAGCACTGGCTGTAAGGTTTCAGGCAGTTCCCGGCTCCGACCCATAGACACAAACCCAACGACTGGTTGCTGTTGGGAATTGTGGGCATGCACCGGTGCTTGTAAGGGCAGAAGGGCACAGAGGTTTTTGCAAAAGGACAGCTCCCTCATGTGGATACATCCAAATGTGTGGAGATGCGGCTGCTTCAGACTCGCAACAATGTAGGCCCCAAACTTGCACGTGAGCAAATCCAACCACCTAAGCAATCGGACTGCAGCTGATGTTGGCAATTCTGGGCGTCGGGTTGCGCCGCCTGCCAATTTCAAGCGAAAGGGGTTTGCGGGAAAACTTCAGTTTTTTACACATTTCAGCGGAAGAAGGACAGATGCTGGCTGACAGGCAAGAAGCGCCCTTTCATCAATCATGACGATGAAGGGCCTGTTAGGGCTGATGGGCATGTTGCCTGCAGTTGATGGGTGCATGATCCGTTGAGAGTTTCTACTGGAATTCCTTGTCGGCGGGGCATTTCTTACAGGGATTCCTGTAGCTGGTTTCAACGGGAAAACGCGCGAGAAATCGAATGATTAGCAGAATGATGTTTCTTCAGAATGTGCAGAGTCGCATTTGCAGCGTGGCCTCAAAACAAAGGCTGTGACTTCCTGCTTGCCCAGTTTGGTGTGCGACAGAAGGCAGGACTTGGGTCGGATGAGTCAGTCATATCAGTCATATCCGCCATATGACTCACATGAGTCAGATGAGTCAGAAGTCAGATGAGTCAGATGAGTGACAAGCAAATCAGGCACGAGGAGAGGAGATCGAAGCTCTGAAGCGTGCCGTTAGCATACTTTCTGGCTGATGGAAGTCTGGCAACTGGCAACTGTCTTACCAAAAGGGGAGAGACTGGAGCTGCGAGTTGCGCTTGCTGTGAGGGTTTGCAGATTTGTCACGTGCGAAGTTGTGTGTACTACTGTTTTACTTACTCGCCTCAAGCTGAATCACCCTCGGCTTGATTGGACTCAGGCTGGTTGCATGTTTTACGTCGTTAAACTTCAGTGCCTGAGTCAGGCTTGTTTGGGAGCAGTTCAACAGTACGTACTGTGCGTGGTTTGGGGTCGTGCTTGGCCGCCGTGGGTATCCCAGTTTGATCCCGACACTGGCGGTTGTGTGGAGCATGTGTCTCGGACCGCACGTGCAGACACGGACGGTTGCAGGCGCCTTGCCCTTCCTGTCCTGCCCTTACCTTCCTCCAGTACTCAATACTGACGAGATTCCTGAGCAGTGTTTGCTTTACTCTGCAAGGTTGGAACTTTCTTGCGCAGTGCCAAGATCAATGTCAATGCTACGCTCTGGTTGGTGTACTAAACAGATTACGACATAGATGAACACAATCGTATGACACAAGATGTCATATTTGTACTGGAACTGTTAAAAAGTCATTTCATTGAAATGCTGGCATGCGGTATTCCACCAACGCCCCACATCATGTGGGCTTCAGGATTGACTTTGGACACAATGGCCTTCTTCAACATGCAGAACGCCTGAAGCTTACTGGCACGGCTGGGTAAGCTTGGCACTGCCACGCATTGCTTCTGTGCTGACATGCCCCGCTTCACTTACTGCCTCCCAGCCCAAACTGGCTTAAAATCACCGGACATTCAGGTGGAACTGGCCCTCTTGAACAATGCTGCCTTCTCGCAGCATGCCGCAGATTGGGGTGTTGGCAAGAGGAACATGTGACTTGCATCATTCTCTTGCAGCCTGCGCAAGGTTCATCTTCCACTCTGGTCCATCCGGCCTGCATCCCAGTATAAAGCCAGAGGACA